GAAATAGAGACTAGAGAATGAAAACGAGAGATTTAAAGGAAAAAGATATTTGTGTTTGATTGTCCAGTTGGACATCCACCACCAACATATTGTGCACTCCCTTTTGCCACTTTTTCTCCAGTTTTTTAAATTAGTGAACTGTTTCCTAATCAACCAAAAAGATACTTCATATTGTCATCACACCAATGAAAGTGAATTGTCAACATAATTTCAGAAATGCCTCTAACACATGATACCACCATAAAATCAAGAAAATAGCACACTCTGGTTGGAACAATTAGAAAAGTGCACTTGCTTATAGGCTGACCTAGCAGGGGTTGTATGGGACCCCACTCACCCCTGAACTGGACACAGCAAAATTATATGCGGTAGTCTTACCACCAGCTGAGGAAAACAGCCCTATGGCACAGAGCATACAACTTACTTTTAATTAAGAGCTGATAGCACTGGCCACACCAACCAATCCAATTCCTTTAAAGGAGATCTTACTGGATAAATGGCCTCCTCTGAAGTGAAATTCTTAAGAAGTTCCCTCTTGATGGTCACCATTTTGGAAATCTAACAGTGAATGAAAACTGCACAGTCATTTCCAAATTTGGAATTGGTCTGTACTGAAAGGGAGTCTATGGAAAACTCCTGGGCTCCACTGTGGAGGGAAAATGAGGAGGAAGGTGAGTACAGTTGAGAGGGAGAGAAGGAAAAGGACCACTCCACCAAAATGAGACTACAGCTGCCCCCCACCCCTGATCCTGTTCCTTCATCTCCCCCGCTCCATTTTCCTCCCCTCATCTTTTAGCTCCAAGACCCAAGCTCAAGCTTGTACACACACATACATGATACTTCCTCTCCATATTCCCAGAGGTGAATGGCAAGCAGCCCCAGGCAGTAGAAAAAACAGACCAAAAGAGAAAAACGTCCCAAAGCTGCTACTCTCTGGCTGGTCTGCAGGACTCTCGCAGCCAAGCTCAAAGCAGCCTGGTCAATTAGTGGAAGAGAGAATGGGGGGAAATAGCTGAAAAACTCATGGAAGCTCAAGGAACTAAACCAGCTGAACTTTTGAGGCCTGTCCTCACTGCTACTCCCACTGAGCAGCTAGGGCACGCCTCACAGGGCCATGTGGTTATCCAGCACACCTGGCACAGGTGCCAGGCCGGGAGGCGGCTCTGGGGCACCACACCTCAGCCTGGGCTTCGGCTGCCTTGCCCCTGAAACTGGTGTGCTGAGTTTTCAGAGTTTGGCAGGCATCAGAAATGTTCCAAGGCTGCACTCAAGGTGCAGCAGGCACAGTGACCTGAAAGGTATGTGTGGGCTGCAGAAGCACTCCTTGTCCAGAACTCATTCACTGGAGCTCCCAATTTTAACTTAACCAAGCCTTGTCGTGATGTATCCAGTA